AATTTCTTTTAAAGTTGTCAGTAATATCTGATTTGTTTTACGTAGTTGTAAATAGTCTGAAACCAGTTGCTACTTTACTGTAGTAAGTAATAAATGCTTCTTAAGTGGACTAAACAGTATTATAACCCGGTTTACTTAATCAACGACTGACTGATTTCTTTTGGTGGCCAGTTTGGTTTATATTTTAATTATTCTATAATATTCTTTAGCATTGATTATAATAACCCTTTCAGACAGTAGTATTACTACTATACCAAGAGCTGAAAATTAGGGCACAATGAAAAATGGAAAAAAATCTAAATGAAAAAACTCATAGACAATGACTACAGCAATCTTCAACAAATAATTGTATACACACACATATATATGTATATATACATAGGTTCACGCACATGTGCATACATATGCAGATAGATAGATAGATATAAATAGATAAATAAAAAGATATGAGATATGTGTATATGCGATTGTGTGCATGTTTGTGTTTGTATATGTGTATGAATATGTGTGTATGTGTTAAAGTATGTGTATGTGTACATATGAATTTACTGTGTATGCACTGTACACATGAAAGGTCAAAATAAATACTTAGACCTTATATATATGAATACATCAAACATACCCGCATGCACACAAACATACACACATATATATCTTTGAGTAACGTGAGTGTGAATGTATGTGTGTGAGATTTTGTGTATAAGATTCGAAATGTAGGTGTCCGAATCGAATGGCTGTATCATTTGGGCCGGGTTTTGACTTGTAGTAAATATAAGCAGCGATTGCTTAACATGTATGTGTTTATTTATATACTTGTGTTCATATTACATTATATTTCATATTTTTTCAACGTATGTTGCATAGCCAATAGATTAATATGGCATGACACAGGTGATTTAAAGAAAGATCATTTATTTTATTTTATTCATATGAATAGAAGATTTAATAACAACAATAACAACAAAATATAATTCAATCTTTTGATATCCATGCGAATCATCTGTCTCCTGACGCCTTAACAGGGCCGCCTTTCTACTAACAATTGCCTTAGGGAGCACCATACGTGTTTGACGGTGTGCTGACGTGGCCACCACCGGAGCCAACGCTGATTCCAACTTCTACACTGTCTCCAAAGCCACCGACGAATCCTCCTCCTGCTTGTCCTACCCCTCCGCCAAATCCTCCGCCTCCCGAACTTCCAACAAATCCACCTCCTGCTCCACTGCCGCCAAAACCACCTCCTGCTCCTCCACTGCCGCCAAAACCACCTCCCAAACCTCCACTGCCGCCAAAACCACCTCCCAGTCCTCCTCCGCTACCCAGTCCTCCTGCCCCTCCAAATCCTCCGCCTCCTGAACCGCCAAGACTTCCGGCGCCACCGACGACTTGTCCTCCTCCATTGGCAGCTGCTTGGAGAGCTGTCTGGAGGTCCACGCCAATAGGGAGTTGAGGATTTTCTCCGTCAGCATAGTTGACGAAGAACACCTCTGGACTAGAAGCGGGAGGAGCTGGTACTTCGATGACTTGTTGTCCTCCTGCTCCACTGGCCTTATTAAGGACGTACACGATATTCTCTTGCCTTGGTGGTGGGATAACAATAGGCTCAGGTCCTGCGCCTCCCTCCGGAAGACGAACAAACAGGATATTGTGATCAACCCTCGGTGGTGGAACCCTCGGTGGTGGACCACTTGGACCAGACGGATGTGCAGGGGCGTCGTAGACGTACACTTTTCTTGATACTACTGGGCTGACACAGGATCCGTCTACATGTAAGACTGTTCCAGGACCGCATCCTCTGCCAGATCCGCCGCCACCAGAAAATCCTCCACTTCCGAATCCACCTCCACTAGAAAATCCTCCTCCGCTAGAGAAGCCTCCGCTAGAGAATCCTCCTCCTCCACTAGAGAATCCTCCTCCTCCACTAGAGAATCCTCCTCCTCCACTAGAGAATCCTCCCCCTCCACTAGAGAATCCTCCTCCTCCACTAGAGAATCCTCCTCCTCCACTAGAGAATCCTCCTCCTCCACTAGAGAATCCTCCACCGCTAGAGACGCCTCCACTGGAAAATCCTCCTCCACTTGAGAATCCCCCTCCTCCAGCAGAGATCACACTTCCTCCAGAAAATCCTCCTCCTCCACCAGAGAATCCACTTCCACCTGAGAATCCTCCTCCTCCAGCAGAAATTACACTTCCGCCAGAGAATCCTCCTCCGCTAGAGAATCCTGAACTTCCTGTAGATCCATACCCATCAGGTATAGCAGTACATGTAGCAATAAACACTAATATCTGAAAAGCAAAAACAACAATATGACTGTGTTTCAAGCTATTCTGAAGATTATGAAAAACCTGTAAAGCTATTAGTGATGGAATATTAATTGGATATTAATTACGGATTTGCGTATCCATTTATATATCTTTTCAGATTTTTATATTCAAAACAAAAATAATCAGCTTACAGAAGAAACCACTCACCAAGAGCTTCATGGTGAAGACGCTATTC